GCCGCGGAGGGCGCCGCCGCCAAGAAGAGGAAGCTCGACGATGGTGATAACGAGGAGGACGACGAGCAGGAGGAGCAGGCAGAGGCCGAGGAGGACCCGCAGAGCAAGAAGCGCAAGACCGCGGAGGCCGAAGAGGAGCAGAACGAGGAGGCCAGCGACTAAAACCACGCTTGTAGAGGATGTGCTCGCCGGTGGCACTCAGTTTACAATACTATTGTTGCCCCAAGAGAGCTGCTGACGTCATGGCCTGGTCCGAACGAACCCAACGACAAGACGCAGACCCCGCCGGCAGCAACATACGCCAGGACTTAGACAACGAGGAATGTTTATGGTTTACCATATTTAGAAAAAAAGATCACTGTTCATGCCCACTGCTGTCGCTGTTCATTTTTTCTTGGTTTCTCAACCACGAGTGCAGCCATGCAGAACGACCTCACAGCCCCAGCACACGATCTGTTTGAGTGTACCACCTGCAGGCAACCTGTCCCACGCGTGGGTTCCGCCACCTTCTACCACGTAGCCTCCTGCTATTGGACTTACTACACGGCGAGAGGAATTAAACCAATCTGCACATGCGACGAGTGCCAAGGCCAGCATCCCCACCCCACCCTGGCTGCCAGAGGCGACGCAGGAAGCAGGAAGCGCCCTCGCCCCTCCCTCCCGAGTGCGCCTGCGTGCCTGGCCTCAACCTCAGCGCGACCCTCATCCACCTCTCCCTCGTACGTTTGCTGTTCTCTTTCGAGCCATTCTCTTCTGCAGAACAGGCCTGGCGCTCACGTGCACGTGTGTGGCCTTGTGTTCTCTTTTTTGTTTGTTGGCAGGTCAAAGTTGCACGAAGGACGTTGACCGAGGAGGAAGAAGAACAGGACGAGGAGGAGCGGAAGGAGCCCGACGCACCCGACGCACCCGCCCGCGAGGTCGAGGTCGAAGAGACGGAGGAGGAAGAGGAAGAGGAAGAGAATGAGGAGCTGCCGATGCCAAGGCTGCGGACTAAGAGCCTGGAGTGCGTCGTGTGCGGCCGGCCGGGGTCACCGGCCAAAATCGTGGTGCCCATCATCCACATCGGCAATGGTCCGGCGCTCAAGGTCTGCAAGAAGGCCCACCTACGCGACAGTAACGAAAGAAAAGCGGTGCTGGCAGCGATCAGGGAGCAGATCGAAGAAGCTCGAGAAGAAGCGGTAGAGGAGGAGGAAGAAGATGCGGACCAGCGGCGGTGCCATGGCTACGGGCGCCTGGGAGCAGAAGGGTCCCGCTGCGGGGCCAGGGTTGGTCAGGGTGGTCCTCTCCTCTGGGTCTTGAAGTCGCACAGAGAGACGCTGAGGCTCTACTTCTGCACTCCTGCGCACCTGTGCAACTACATCGACCAGGAGTACAGGCTACCTCCAAGAAACAATGGGAAGAAGGAGAAGGAGGAGAAGGAGAATAAGGAGAAGGAGAAGGAGAAGGAGGATAAGGAAGAGACGGACGTGGAGACTGGTGATGAAGGCAATTGAATTGCATGTACTGTTTTTTCTCTCTTTTTGTCTCTTTTTTTAACAAAGAAAAGAAAAACTTGTGTGGTTGCGTGCTTGCGACCAGTGGGCGTGGGGGATAGGCACGAGCTGGGGCCTGTCCACCAGATCGTGGCCGTAGAGCTTGAGCACCCGGTCGTCCCCCACCATCGCGACCGCCCAGAACACGATCAGCTGCCCACCACCAACGACACGACACGACACGACCAATGAGCACGACATAAGAAATAGTGGATTGTTGTTGGTCGTGTGTGTCGTGCGTGGCGTGGTACCAGGGTGGTGGCCGCGGGGCGGTAGTTGTGCGCGGAGGGGAGCGCGGGCTATGGCCCATCACGTAGTTGCCCAGGAGAATGTGCTTCGTGGTTGCGTGTGTCGTCGTGCCGTCGTGTGTGCGGTGTGTGCGGGACAACAGATGCGGGCGAGCTCAAGGCCGACTACACGAGGACCGGCAAGCGGTCGTTCAAGGGCGTGCTCAACGACGGCCTCAACTCGGCCACGCGGTACTACCTCAACAACTTCAAGGACGGCTTCCGTCAGCTACACAACAACACACGCAACCACGGCAGGCGCATTACCAGGACTTTGCTCAGTCCAGGTGATGAGCGCAGCCCAGACGATCCCGCGCAGCATGCGGTCTGACCGGCCGGAGACGACCGGGTCAGACGCCGTCACGCGGGATCAGGAAAGCCGCGAGAGCAGTGACGAATGCGGCGGTGTAGATGGTCTTCCAAAATGTTGAGTGCAGAACTTGGCTATGCGTCATTTGGTGGTTCGTGTCGCCTCTCTTTTACATTTCATCGGCCGACAATGGTGCGTCACACACCTCCTCCGGCTTTCTTTCGAAAGATCAAAGCGGGGTAGTGGCGGTGTCTTTCCTTCGTCGCTGCCCGCTGGGCGTGGATGGACCGGTCCACACTTGCTTGCCGAGCGCCTCGGCCGTGTGCCACTGCGTGACGGCGTCCAACAGGGCCTCCAGCCACATGCTGCGTATCTTATCGCTCTCAACTGCCATCTGATACTTCTTCTTCACTGTCGTGATCGCCAACGCCGGCTTCCCGCCTGCATTGCAAACAACAAACATCAATAGATGCATCGATCATCAATTCAATGAAGAGGAAATGCACGATCAGCAGTGGTCATCATGTGGTAAGAATGCGCGTATGTACCATCATTGACGGGTGCCACGGTTTTGCACTGGGCCAAAGGTTCGGTCTCCTTGATGACGTAGGTGCTGCTGTCGCTGCCCAGCCCCTGCGGACCCAGCGACGGAGGCAGACGTGACTGCCTGCTGTCGGCCCGCCTCCTCTCCTCTCGCTTCTTCTCCTCCTTCTGCTTCTTCGCCACAATAAACATGTCGTTGAACAGCAGCAGCACTCGCTCTGTGCGTGCGCATTTTACATAACACACGACACGGCGGTAAGCGATTGTGTTTAGGAGAATGGCCATGATGGGTGGGTGGGTGGGTGGGGGGAGCGCAGACCTTGGTTTGTGCGCCCGATGCGCATCTCCACCTTGCCCTCGCGGATGAACCGTCGGCCAGGCGTTGCCAATTTCTGATCACCATCGCACACCAGGTCAGACCTGCGTTGTTGGGGTGTGTGCGGTGTGTCGCATTGCGAAAAATGTAAGCTGAATTGGCACGCACCAGATCTCGGCGGCCGGAGAGCTGCTTCTCGAGCCGGAGCAGGAGGTCCATGTTTTCGTGCTCGCGCTTGCCCTCGTTGATGAACTCGGCCGCGTCCTTGATCTTCTCCACCGCCTGCTCCAGTACATCGTAGCCCTTGTCCGACTTGGACGTCTTCCTCAGCAAATCCTGCGTCATGCGTGTTGTGTTGGTCATCACCGCGTGTCGTGTGTGTCGTGTGTGTCGTGTGTGTCGTGTGTGTCGTGTGTGTCGCGTGTGTCGCGTGTGTCGCGTGTATCGTGTGGTGTGTGTCATACCAACAAAAGCATCTCGTAGCGGGGGATGCGTTGAATGGGTTGGATGAGGAGCGAGTGGAGGTCCTGGTAGCTGCACTCGGGCTTCTCCTCGCACCTGTGGAGGAACTGCGCAAACTGCGGGTTCTCCGCCTGGAGCTGGTGCAGCGTCTGCATGGCCGTCGGATAGTTATTGACGTACGTCGAGTACAGCTTCAGGAAATCGGTCTATGATCGAGGAAACAATTCAGTGGTTAATTGAAGCGTGTACATGCGCGGTGTGCGCGGTGTGCGCGGCGTGTGCGGTGTGTGCGGTGTGCGTGTCTGGGCGAACCTCGTTAAGGATGATGTCGCCGATTCCGCGCTTGGCAAAGAGCTCCCAGTCTTTGATCCGCTTTTGCAGGCACGAGTACAGCCGCTGATGGTGCATGTACAGCAACTCAACATCTGTCGTGCGTGTGCGTGCGTGTCGTTTGTCGTGCGTGTCGTGTCGTGTCAGGTGAGTGGCAAGTCCGCGCCCCCTCCCCCCAAACCAGCTCCTCTTTGGTTTGCGTCTTTACCGGAAAAGATGCCGCTGGTGTGCTTCGGGTCCAGCAGCCCCTTCTGCTGGGACAGAGGCTTCAGGAAGATCTGTACACGACCCCCCCCCAACGTTTAGTACTCTACACGGGGGGGGGCAGATACATCCACGCACGCACGCGCACACGCACAACACGGCGTACGTACATTTACAACGAGGCCCAGAATCTGAACGTAGTTCTTCTCGGTGACCGAGAACTCGTTCGCCACCAACAACCGCTTTCGCACTGCGCGCCAAGCCACAGCCCTCAGTGACTGTGCGCATTGTGTGTCGTGTGCGTGTGCGGTCGTGTGGGTGTCGCGCTTTGTACGTACGTCTTCGAGCGCACCAGCGCCTGACTCGCGCCTGAACGAGCACGATGTCGGCCAGGCAGGCGGGGCTGATGCTGTCCGGAGCCCACTTCCGACGTATCAGCTCGGTCAGGCGCCGCTCCTCGACCCGGAGCGCCTCGGCCTTCGCCGCCGCCGCGGCCCGCGCGTCCTCGTCCGCCGCTTCATTCGCGGCGGCGACCGCCAGCGGCCCCATCGTTTCTGGGCTGACCGTGCTGCTGCGCGGTCGGTACTGGTGCTCGCCAGAGCGCGCCAGCGCTGCGGATGCGGTTTCGAACAAGTTGCCCATACTGTCACTCCTGTGTGCGGGGTGTGCGGTGGTGTGTGCGCACGCGAAGGTGAGCGCGCGCGTGCGATCGGAGAATAGAGAACGACGAGTGAGGGGTTGGTTTGGTTGTTGGTGGAGCTGGGCACCTCTGGGTCTTGGACAACTTCTTTTCCGTGGGGCTGTCGACCGGTGATCGCGTCGTGTTGGGCGTATGATGCGCTTTATCGTTGCGGGGCGACGACGACGCGTCCTGCGCATGCGAAACACAGGGCAGGATGAGCCCCATGTGCGCGCGCTCGTTGTGTGTGTGTGTGGTTGATGGGATGCGGCGTACGACAGCAAGAGGCGATCCCTTCTTGTTGCGCTTGGTCTCCTTCCTTTCGCCCTCCTTCCACTTGGACAGCTTCTCGCCAAACGTGATCGATATCGTGCGCGACATCTTCGTGGTCGCCTCCGCAACGCCCTCCACCTTCGGCAGATCCGACGCACTCTTCGACGTACTTCATCCCACCCACGACAAACGACACCCACGACACACACGACACGCGCGACACACGACACACGACTCACAATGAGCGACACGCGCTAGAAAGAGGAATCATTGAGGGTGCGTACGCATTGGGCGACTTGGGGGAGCCCATGGAGCTGTAGCGCTGGTCCCACTGATAGTGCTCCCGGTCGAGCGCGCTCGGGTCGTCCGACGACTCGCCGCCGCTATCGACCCCCTCCTGGCTCTCCGACATCATCCGCGAGTGCCCGCCGCTGTTGGGGCTGCCGTGGCCCCCGAGTGGCGAGGGCAGAGAGACCAGCGGCGGCGGCAGCGGCGCGCCGCCCGCCAGCGAGAGAAGCGGCGGCAGCTGGGCCACGGCCATCGCAGCAGGACTGCTGTCCGAGTCTGAGTCGGAGCTGTCATCGTGCGGCGATCGCGGGACGGCCAAAGCCCTGATCGTGGCCGGCGGCGGCGGCGACGCGGCGGACTTGATCGGACCCGAGACCGTCTTCCGGCGCTCGGTCGAGGGGCTCTCGGGCGATGCGGGAGCGGCCGCGGTGGGACCGCCGGTGGCCACGACGGCCGAGTCGTCGCGGTCGCGGTCGCGTCGCTTCTCGGTGCGGCCGGTCATCTTGCGCAGCCAGCTGGTGCGGGTGACGGCGACGGTGGCCGCACCAGCTGACCGGGGAGACCCGATCACCGCCGCGGC